AAACTACCATTTTGTCTGGCTGACTAAAATACTTAAAGTAGCTTGCTGCCCTTCAATTTTACCTCAGTACCAATCTGAGAATGAGCTTAAAGGCTAGTTAAAGTTTCACCTCAGAAACTCATGTTGCTTCCAAGAGACTCGTAAAGCTTTCTCCATTTCTATTACGCTTTCTAAACCTGTTCTTGTGGGCTAACCTGGAAGCAGGGAGAAGACTTTCTCTCACTTTTCTTTTTTAAAGACACCTTTCCTTGAATTAGGTAAATCAATTCTGTCATTTTTTCCTGTGATTATCAAGGTCCCAGTATTGTTAGCCTGGGTCAGAACTACAAAGTTAAGATGATTTACCTTCACTCTAACCTTCTTATCTTTCTTTCAAGTCTCTTCTTCATTAATTCATCTTTGAGTCAACCTAACTCCATGTCTGTCTTGTTGGGGATCAAGATGGTCAAATGATTTCATATTTAGGCCTACAGGAAATGAGAGTGCCACTTGAATACAGTCAGAATAAATGGTCCTTTTGCTGGAGAAGTCATGACGGTAACTCAGGCAATGGCCTCTCGGAGCTCATGGTCTGGGGATTCACATGTCATAAGCCAATTACAATTACCCAAGAGGATGAAAAGCTTTTAAACTCAGCCCCGAAAGAAGGACGAATGACTGGTTAACAATGTGGAAACGTGGGATGAAAGGAATAGGGAGAAGGAAGTGCCATGCAAAGGCTCAGATGAAATGGAAGACATTAGAAATGTCTCATTTATTAAAAAAAGAAAATGGAGCTCCAGGCAATGCACTCATGTAGCCAACAGAGGACAAAAACAGGGATCTTAGCTCTTTGTGCTATAGACTATATAACCCTCCCAGAAAAATCTGCCTTTGAAAAGAGGACCTAATGAAAGCTTAATTTTCAGAGAATGTTCTCAACTGGTTTCATGATCAGTTTCAAGTCATTATGCCATGTGAGTAAAATAGTTAACGACAGGGGTTCCTCTCAAATCACATTACCCAAATTCTACCATATTCTCTGACAAACTCTCATTGCGCTCTGGCTTTTACCAATTCCCTCCCATTGACCCATGTTCGTTACATAATACATACCAACTGAAACCCAACCCCACTTTCATCAAGCTGAATCCAGCTCTCATTGACCCCACATCGGGTTTCTAAGACTGGAGAGCTGTACAGGAACACACACAGCCTTTCTTTCTCACTTGTAGTGGCTGGTAGGCTTGAACTGCTGACGCTGTAGTTAGAAGGCCAGTGCTTACCCTATAGCACAACCAGGGCTCCTGTAGCTAACAACTCTAATTGCCAATTAGTCTCAGCATCTTTGTACATGAAATATCACAAACTGGCATCCTGAATGCTTAACTCAGGAGTGCAGTGGCTCTGCAGGATAAGTACTGAACTGCAAAGCACAAGGTCAGTGGTTTGAGCCCACCAGCTGCTCCATGGGAGAGAAATGAGGCTTTCTGCTCCTGAAAAGATTTACAGTCTCAGAAACCCTTTACAGGGTTATTATGAATTGGAACTGATTCAATGGCACTCAACAACATGCTTAATTCAGTCTGTAAGCTGATTTTGTTTTGCATCGACTCAAGTGCTGTTTAGAAACACAAGAAAACAGAATGTTTGTGCATTGCAGGTGGGAATATAGAATGGTCTCAATACTGTGGAAATCAGTTGGCAATTCTTCTAAAAGGTAAATATAGAATTACCAAGTTGTTAAGTGCTGTCGAGTTGGTTCCGATGCTTAATGAACCTGTATAGGGTTTTCAATGAGCAGCTGGTGGATTTGAACCTCCAACCTGCAGTTCAAACTGACTTTGCAGTTCAATGCTTATCCTACGGTGCCATACCAAGACTCCTTAGAATTATCATGTTGTTATTAAGTTTGTGATTCACAGCAACCCTGTACAGGGTTCCCAAGGAGTATCTGGGTGTTTGAACTGCACGTCTTGTGGTTTGAATTCCAGTGCTAATCCTACAGCACCCGACCAGCAATTCCAGTCCTAGGGACATACCCAACAGACTTGCGAGCATGAATTCAAACTTATTGTTACACACCAATGTTCATCCAGCACAATTCAAAACTGTCAAAAGGTAGAAACAGCCAATGTGTCCATCAACAGATGAATGAATAAACAGAATGTAGACTATGCATACAATGGAATATGACTCAGCCAGAAAGAGACATGAAGTTCTGATATACGCTATACCATGGATGAACATGTAAAACATTTTGCTGAGTGACATACATCTAAGTCAGACACAAAAGGACATATATTTTACAATCTCACTGACACGAACATCTAGACAAATGCAGAGGCACAAGAGCATTTCAGCGGTTGTCCGCGGCTAGAGGAGGAGGGAATGGGAATTCTTGTTCCAGGGGCACAAAATTTCCGTTTGGGGTGATGAGCCATTTGCAGATGGAAAGTGATGATTGCTGTACAACATGGAGAATGGAAGTTGCATCACTGAATTAATATATTTAAAATGGAATTTTTTTGTATATATAAAAAACTAAACAAAAAAATCACTGGACTGCTAACCAGAAGGTCAGCAGTCACTGAATTTATGACACTTATTTGATACTGGTAGCGTAGTGGTTACGAATCGGGCTGCGAACCTCAAGGTCAGCAGTTCGAAACTACCAGCTACTCTGCGGGAGAAAGATGAGGCGATCTGCTCCCGTAAAGATTTACAGCCTCGGAAACCCTGTTCAGGGTCGCTATGAGTCGCTCGACGGCACTTAACAACAACAACAACATTTTATACTTAATTTTTAATACTTAAAACGCAACTTTTTGGTTTATATATACATAAATGCATATGTATATGGTGGTGGTGGTTATGTGCCGTGGAGCTGGTTCCGACTCATAGCGACCCTGTACAGGGTTTCTGAGGCTGTAAATCTTTATGGAAGCAGAACGCCTCATCTTTCCCCCGCGGAACAGCTGGTAATTTTGAACTGCTGACCTTGTGGTTTGCAGCCTGATTCGCAACCACTACGCTACCAGAGCTCCTTACATATGTATATATAAAACAAAATTTATATGTATAGATACAAAACAAAACAACTTCCATTTTTACTGTATAATTTAGTGACAAAAATTCAATTGTTCCTGACCTTATGCTTATCCTACAGTGCCACACCAGGACTCCTTCCTTATAATAGCACTATAGATCATTTATAAGGATCTCTGGTTGCGTAGTGGTTACATGTTGCGCTGCTAATCTCAAGGTCAGCAGTTCAAATTTTCTAGCCATTCTGCGGGAGAAGGATGAGGCGTTCTGCTCCTGTAAAGATTTACAGCCTCGGAAACCCTATGCAGGGTCACTATGAGTTAGAAACGACACCATGGCACATAACAGCCACAGATATTTAAGTGGTGCTGCAGGATAATGAACTGGACCTCAAGGCTGGTTTGAATCGAAAGGTCGGCAGTTCAAATCCACCAGCCACTCCTTGGAAACCCTTTATAGGGTCACTATGAATGGGAACCAACTCAGCAGCTCTTACCGACAATCATGTTTTGGGGACTCCTGGTATGGCACTGTAGGATAAGCAGTGGACTGCAAACCACAAAGTTGGTGGTTCAAACCCACTAGGTGCTCCTTGGAAACCCTGTACAGGGTCACTATGAGTTGGAATCGACTCCATGGCACTTAACAATATCATCTTGTTTTTGAATCTCTCTTTGTTTTTGTTTTTTTTCCTCCAAGTAAATACTCTCAGTCCTTTCAGTCATTACTCACAGATGTTTCCAGTCAGCTTCCCAGTCCCAATCTTTGCAGTGCATACTATCATCTACAAAGATGGCTACAAACAAGCCCTTCTCTCCCTGTACCGCCATGCCAATCTCCACAGGGAGAGATGGGATTGATTTTCCCTCCCTAGTAATCTAGGCTGCCCTCACATTAACCAGTTCCATCCACAGTCTGTAAAAGAACTGGTCATTGTTTCATTCCTTCCTCTTGGAAGCCAGCAGACACATAAGAAACCTGACTACCTGAGATCACCATGCTGTGAGGATGCCCAAGCTTCTCATGAGGAGAGGTTTTGTGGAAAGAGTGGCTAGCTTCAAGCTTTACCAACTCTCCTAGCTAACAGGTCAGACAGACAGGTAAAGAACTATCTTGATCATTCTAGCCCTAGAAAAATGCCCCTCTTGGCCCAACCCAGCCCACAGAATCTTAAAAAATAAAGGTTGTTTAAATCTACTGGTTTTAGGGTTATTTCTAAGGCAGGAATAGATGACTGAAAATCTTGTCATAATAGTTATGTTGTTGTTTTTGTTATTATGTGCCATGGAGTCGGTTCCAACTCATAGCAACCTTGTACAGGGTTTCCGAGGCTGTAAATCTTTATGGGAGTAGAAAGCTTCATCTTTCTCCCGTGGAACAGCTGGTAGTTTCGAACTGCTGACCTTGCAGTTCGCAGTCCGATTTGTAACCACTACGCTACCAGAGCTCCTTCTAATTGTGACACCAATTGTCACAATTATATTTTCTGTCCTAGCTCTTTAAGGGTCAATTCTGCATGATGAGATCTTACATCTTTCCTCTTTTTCTAGTTATAAATCTCCCTTACTGTAGAAACATATAAACAAAAATGATTAACCATTAGTAACATTCAAAAGTTACTATAGCTGACTAAAATTAAATCAAGATAAGAATTAGAGAAAGCTATAACAGAAGTGCTAAAAAACAAACAAACAAACAATGTTCTTCATATATCTATATTCTTTTCTGGCTACCTAACTACAGGGTCTTTATTCTTGAGGAACTCTGCCTGAGTCTAAAATGTAGGTGATTCTTTACATTCTGGCTAGTTGTCTTGGACCATTTATAACACTCAGTCTAAATCACTTTGGGGAAGAGATTCCTAAAGGGACTAGAGAGTCTCAGAGAAAACTTGGTTGGTGTGATTCTGGAAAAGAAACAGTTCCCATGAGCAAACAGGGTCAGATGTCTTTGCAAAAAAAGAAATTACCCACTTTGTATCCTTTTACTTCCGACTCATTATCTAGGGCCTTCACTTGATCCCAATTCAGGATAATTTTGGAGTCCGATGAATTCCATATGATGTTTCCGGGGGGTTGACTTGGTGCTATAAAAAAAATTAAGATATACGAAGTCACAGACTATTAAGTCTAAATGGATTCTGAGGAATATCTCCTCACTAGAATTTGAGAGTGGAGGCAATTTAATGGGCTATTGCACTAATATGTGTATTCAAGGTCACTAAAATCTGCCGAGATACAGCACTGCAAATGGGAAAAGATTCAGTTGGTCGCCTAACATTTAGAGCTAAAAGAAGTAGCCCTTCCCAGTGAGGAGAAAAACATTTATCTTTCTGTCCTCTGGAGCAATGGTATTCAGAAAGGTTCAGTTAAAATGCTAAGGTGAATTTGAATCCAAACTATTATACCAATTAGTATGCAAATAATCACCGGGAGGTGGGGATGGAGAATGAACTTGGGATGTGTTTGATGAATCCAAAAAATATTTCTAAGCACATGCGTCCTTACGTGGTTTTCTAGTTGTCACGTTGACAGTTGGACTTGAGGGGCCGGTCCCGGCGGAATTGTATGCTTTGACGGCCAGATGATACAGTGCGTTGCCTTTTAAGTTGGTGATTTTTGTTGATGTATGATTTCCAATTGTTCGTATTTTTCTAGCATTTTCTTCCTTATCATCATGTCTCCAGTATTTAACCTGAGAAAATAAAAACAAAGACTTTTTGATTTGTACCAATTGGTGATATTCCCAACACCATCAGAGGTAATATTTTATGCAGAATTCTTGCAATGGAGCTAATATACCAACTTGTAAGTTTAACTTCCCAAATTAAAAGTGTTGTACATACTAAAAAATATCTATAGTAGGAGAAACCCTCTTCGGTTCCTCACTTCATAGTGAGGCGGCAAAGTGGCATGCAATCCTTATTGACTATTTCCCCCTTTATACTTCCTTAGTTTGGAGCCCAGTTGATCCCAGCCAAATCAAAAGTCAAAGCATATATTTTGACAAATAAGTCTGGAGTATACCACAGGAAAATGCAAGTCTCACCACTGAACATTCAATGCATTCATCAGCTTTAACTCAGGCCTCTGAAACAAATGTTTTGAAATAGGAATCGGGTTCTTCTTCCCATCAGAGTGTACCTGGGAGGCCTTACTGAGGAGTATGGATTGTTTTCAAGAACCAGGATACTCTTACCTCATAACCTTGAATCCGTCCTATATTTTTCTCCAGGGGTGAGGACCAGAAAACCTCAATATCTGTTGCAGACAGGCTTCTGGCAAAGATGCTGGGTGGTGGTTTAGTGGGCTCTGCAGATGAATAGGGACAATATTATTACTGTAGATGTGGTGCTGCAGGATAATGCATGGGACTGCAAGATCAGGTTGAGCCACAAAGCCAGCAGTTCAAATCCACCAGCCACTCCTTGGAAACCCTATACAGGGTCACTATGAGTTGGAATCGACCCGATGGCACTTACGAACAACAACAAGCAGCTATATCACAGTTGGCTTCTGCATGTTGTTTTGGAGGTGCCGTTGAGTCAGCTTTGACTCATGGTGATCTTATATAGAGTTTCTAAGGCTGTAAATCTTATCAGGGGCATAAAGGCTAAGCTTTTTCCCTTGGAGCATCTGCTAGCTTTGAACTGCTTACCTTATTGTCCAGTGCTTATCCTACAGCACCACCAGCACTCTGCCGTCAAGATAGTGATATCATAAAGTTAAAAAACAAAAACAAAAACATATATATATATATATTGTAGTGATAGGACTGCTTTTAATGACTGGGATTGAAATCCTCATTTTACAGAGGAGCAATGGTGAACAGCTTGCACGTGTGTGTGTTGGGGTTGGGGAGAGATGTGTCCGAGGTCTCTGGGGGGTACAAATTGTTAGTGCATTCAGCTGCTAACAAAACAGTTGTAAGTTAGAGTCCACCCAGAAGCACCTTGGAAGAAAGGTCTGGCAATCTACATCTAAAAACTCCGCCACTAGAAATTGCATGGAGTACAGTTCTATTGTGACACACATGGATTACCATGAGTTGTAGCTGATTCAATCATAATTGGATTTGCTTTGAGCTGGAAGGAAAGGAACCCAAGGTGACTTAAGTTTAAACTACACATTTCAAAGCCAGCAACTCCCTTAACGTTTTAATTAGTATTGGTTATAGTCAGTCCTAGTCACTGCATTATGAGAATGAGAAAGGACAGTCAGTGGATTTAACTAAGATTCAGGAGAGCTTGGTGACAGTTCAGTTCCATACCATAAGCTGTAAGATCTTGGCCAAGTCACGCCTATTCTCTGAGCAGCAAAAAAAGAGGCGGGACTGTTTCCCAAATGTCAGTCATTTTTGTCTGATTTCTGTTATATCCTATTTGTTAATGTTTTCCTTTCAGTAGTCTTACTTAAGAACAGCGTAGTTCAGTCATTTCTTAATCAGTAATATTTATGAAATCTTGGGTTTCATATGACAGTTGTATTTTCCAATGCAATTAAAATCAAAATGTATCTATTAAATATTTAAAATCATTCATCTGGTATCATTTACAATCAACTTGTGTACTCTGGAATACACAACCTACTCCAGGAAACTAGGAACAAGAAACTCTGTAAGACCGTGTCTGCCCCTAGCAATATAGGATTCTATTTATGTTAATTAATTCAGCATTTATAATGGTCTGTGTGTCATGCACAGTTAAACACTGGTAACATAAAGGTGAAAAACAAATGGCCTACTCTCAAAAACCACGACTTAGTGAGGACATAAATCTAGAGTTAAAAATTAATAATATAGTAAGCTGAGAATTAGAATCAAGGTGCTCTAGAAAGAACAAATGCTTACTCAAGTCCAGGGCCTGGCGAACTCAGGGAAGCCTTGGACGTTCATGAAGGATGAGTGAATTCACGAGATGGGTAAGTCAGAAGAGGGTAAGAAGGGTTAAAGCACATTCAATTAGCTAAAGATAGAAGTTGGGGCTAAGCAGAATGGCTGGGCTTAGATCCCGGAGGGCAGAGTCTAAGGGAGGAATTGTCTCTTTGGGGAGAAGTATTTACTTCCATCTTCCTTTATCATTTATTCAAACCTCTGACTCAATTGTGAAATTTTTCTTTTCTTTCTTTTTTTTTTTGTTTTTTTAAGCATAGTCTCATTCTGAATTGTCATTAAGTGATGTCAAGTTGGTTCTGACTCATAGTGACCCTGTGCAGGGTTTCCAAGGAGTGTCTGGTGGGTTTGAACTGCTGACCTTGTGGTTCAAACCGACCTTGCGATTCAGTGTTTTTTCTACACCACCACACCAAGACTCCTCATTCTGAGTCTTGCCTTGTAAATAGCAACATGAACTCCAACGGCAATGGGAAGTGTGTAAGGCATTCTGGAAGCAGGGATGGAGTAGGTGATAATGCATGAAAACCTTTTAACATGAAGGCAGTGTAGGTGACAGCCAGGCGCAAACTCACTGCACCACAACTTGACCGTCTTTTTAAGAAGTTAGAATAAATTATACGTACAATATGCCTTATGAAAACCAACAATGAGAGGAAATGCAAATTATATTTGGATATGTAAAGGGGAAAGTAAGATGTAAGAATTTAGAAAATTGTTTCATCTTTTAAAAGTCATGGTAATATTTTTGTTTTTGTTCTTGTCAGGTCCTGTTGAGCTGGTTCTGACTCATAGACACCCTCTGTAGCATTTCCAAGGAATAGCTGGTAAGTTTGAACTGCCCAGGGCTTACCCTACAGCACTGCAGTAGGATAAAGACATAGAGAACAACATTGTATATGGAGCTTGCAATTTCGATCCTTAGCAGTGGAATTAATGCTGGATAGTCATTTCTTTACATATATAAAAGAGTTGCTATTTTTCTAAGAGGTAGATAATGAGGCACATTTTTTACCTTATACTATTCTCAAAGATATGCCTCCTATTTATTGTCTTGAGTTTGTTACTGTGCATACTAAAATCAGCAGCATTATAGAATTGAAAACAAAATCGCACATCTAAATAACATAAACCCTACCTTCTTCTGCAGAATACACTGTTGTGATGGGACTGAATGAGCCTTCTCCTTTATTGTTGAAGACACCCACTTTAACTTCAAAGGGAGAGAAAGGGGACAGGCTCTCATTCCTGAACACGTATCTGGAGGCGTCAGCGGAGGCCATCACTGTCTTCATCCAGCTCTTTTTGCCATAGGGCCGGAAGGCCACCACGTAACCAAAGCCTCCACCATTCTGTAACTCTTCTGGCACCGTCTGGTGAAAAGGGGAGGTGGTCTTCAGAAATCACAGTAGGTTGAATCAATTGCTGAAATTGTTGTATTCCCCCAGCCTTCCCACCATCTTTTCTTTGGGTTTTGCCAAGTCTTTCGTCTAAATTAGGGGCTTGCAATTCCTCTACCTTAGGGATTCATGAAACACTAAACAGATTAATAAGCTAAAAAATAACTACATGGAAATACTGACTCCTGGTGAGGCAGACCTACCTAGAAAACTGAACAGTTGATCTAAAAACCAACATTTCTATCTGTAACTCCCTGTACCCTCTAACACTCTTCCTCCTCCAGAGCAAACAAGACAAAAGACCCCCATGGAAGAAGTATAGCTTATCATGTCTCAGGAATGACTTGCCTTCTCCATGCTGACAGGGTCAGCTGAAGGGTGAACAGTTTCTTTCACTGCTGGGAGCTTTGGGCAGACGAATGAATTTAATTTCTGGGACCATTGTTTTGAAACCTTAAAAACCACCAAGAACCCTTTATAAAGCTCCCACCTCCTCTCTGCAAATCAATTTTTAATAAATTGGTGACTAGCCTCCTTCTAGGTTGTTTAAAAAATCTCTCATAACAGAGTTCCAGCAGCAGAGCCGATTGCCAGGAACTCATGCTGGTACACTGCATCTATTACTGGCAGATGCTGAAAATCAATTGGTCATGCAGCAATTCAGGAAGAAAAGAAAAACTGGTTTTCTCTGCACCAGCCTTCTTAAATATATATATATATATATATATTTGTTACTCATGTTGTCTTCCCTTTCATGATTGTTTTCCCCGTGATGAATCGAATTAAAACTTGGCTTGACAATTGATAGGCAAGCACCGTCTTTTCCTGCCAGCCATTATCTATGTGAGAGGGAGTGTTTGTACCCAGATGGGTTTTAGCTGCTAGGAACAGAGGAGGGAACTTCCCAGCGATGTTGGACATGGAAGAAAATAATGAAACCGCCTACACTAATGTATGTTCCTTTTGTTCTCTGATTCATTTACCTCCCAGGTTATAACCAGCTCAGATTTGCTGCCTCCACCACCACTGACGTTAGCTGGGGTGACTTCGGGGACTGTGTAGGAGACAAAAACAAGTTATGTCAGGCAGCAAGAGCAAATGAGGGACCAGGAAGGTTGCCTGGTTGGGATGACTCACTTTAAACGAATACTCAAATGCACAGACCTTTGCCTTGAGATAAGAACACAGACATCCGGGGCCTACCACATCAGCTGGAAAAAGTGAAATGTGCCAATGAAATTTCTCTTAATTATCTGTTCCCATTCGACAAGGTACACGCATTATCAGACATGTCTGGCTCATTATTCAGCTCCGTCCCTAGAGGTTGAGAGGTTAAGTGGGATGAGGAAAGGACCAGGATTCTAATGCTTGGTTAGCCGTTTATTAACCATGCGGAGGTACACAAAGGAAAGACAGTACAAACTCTGCCCGTGGTACCAGCTTTACAATCTAGTTTGGGTGCAAAAGCACATGCCGAAGGCTTACAGAACAACACTAACAAGTGAACAACAGCGCAGTGTGGGCAAAGGGAGAAGAACAGTGGGTGCTGAAGTAACAGGCTGCTTGGAGAAGGATTGGGCTGGTGGCTCCTGGGAGCAAGATGAGTTTTAAGCTGGGTTGAAGGAAGTGGTGGATATAGGTTGGCTCGTGGCTCACTGTGTTGAATCTCTTTCATTCCCCAGTCTTCTCTCTAACAGGGAAATTAGGCTAGCTTCCTCCTCAGGATGGTGCTGAGAGGAATTACATAAATTATAGGTTTGAAAATGGGGGTGTGGGGGAAGTCATAGGTTACTTATATTATCATCATGCAAATAAAAGACTCCAGATAGAATTTTTAAAAAGGTCTGATTTTAGCTATGTAGCTGGAAACTGGGTATACGTAGCTTTCTGGTTAATGAAGGAGATCAACAGGGATTTTATCCTAAGAGGAGTAGGGTTCCCATGGACTTAGGGCTTTGCTAGATGAGGGGGCTTCAAAAAATTTATGGAAAGATGGAATTGAAAAATAATGGAATTTTTCCACAAACGTTTCGAAGTTCCCTGATACGACCTCCAACAGACTGATTCTGACCACACCTAGGAACACTTACAGACAACACATGTGAAAAGAAAAAGTACAAGCGATCCGGATGAGTTTAGCTTAGGCTCTTCCTCTGCCTGCTTGTGCTGTGCGCCTAGAGGACTACACGACATTGGTGACAAGCCGTGCAGGAATTAGCAGCATGTTCTGAACCTTAGCTTCTGGCAGCGGCGTCCACCCTGAAAAAGTCTTCTACTCTCTGCCATTCCTGATTTCTGTGAGATGGCTTCATTTGCAATAGGGAGTGTGGATTTTTTTTTTTTTTTTAATATAATCCTGTTAGGATAATCTTGGTGACAAAAGAGCCAATGAAGAAGGAGTTGGCTTTTCAGAGAACTCAGCACAGTGCTGTGGAGCCCAATGAGGAGTGAGACCTTAACTCTTGATTGAATCTCACTGCCTGTGAAGCTGATATTCTACAGGCCTGATTTCTAATCATTATAATCACTCAAGAATAAAGCGTGTGCGAATGCAGAGCCTTGAAGAGGAGAGAGAATTCACAAGGTTTCCTTAAAGAATAAGAGCTGATGGAAGAGGCAATCTGAATCCTGGGCGCTACTCACGGGCCTCTTCTGTCCTCCGTTTCTCTGATGGCCGGCTTGGCTCGCCAATCCCAATCACGTTGGCTGCAACTGTACGGAATTCATATTCCACCCAAGGGTTCAAGCCCACCACAGTCGCTGTGAACATTTTCCCATCAATGAGCTCTGGAACTGCAAGACATCAAAAGGTAGATGTGTTTCACAGAATTTCCAAAACCAAACGCAACGATCATATCAGGGAGTTAGGAAACTTCTACACATTGTCATTGTTAACTGTATTCAAGGCATTATAGGTGGTCTGACAGCAGCTGCACAAACAGCTGCCACACACAGGTAACCCCAGGACTGTGTATGACAAACTAATAAACCAGCAGACGGCATCACAAAACATACAAAGACTTCAAGGCCCATGGCTACTTGAATCCAATCATTACTACTATCACTACCTTTATCACCGAACAAGCTATTCAGCATTTATAATGTGGTACCAACACATGATTTAATTCTTAAAACTATCATATGAATAAGGTAAAATTATTATCTGGAAAAAAATTATTAGGAAGGCTAACTGGTTTATTCAAGGCATATAGCCACTAAAGGGCAGAGTTTGGATTTATATCTTCCTCTTTCTGACTCCGTAGTCCAAACTCAATGATTTATAGTGATGGTCCCTATGTGGTACAAGTAACTTGCACTCTACTACTAAACAAGCCTGGTAGTGTAGTGGTTACGAATAGGGCTGCGAACCTTAAGGTCAGCAGTTCGAAACTACCAGCTGCTCCGCGGGAGAACAATGAGGATTTCTGCTCCCGTAAAGATTTACAGCCTTGGAAACCCTGTACAGGGTCGCTATGAGTTGGAAGCGACTCCACGGCACATAACATCAACATCATCACTAAACAAGCCTGAGAGGTGTGGCGCTGTGGGTTAATGTGCCAGACTGCAAAGCCATGTGAACTGCAAGGTCCGCGGTTCAAGCTCACCAGCTGCTCCTCGGAAACCCTATACAGGTTTGCTATAGGTCGGAACCGACTCCATGGCACTTGACAACAACAACTAAACAAGCCTGGTGTGGCTCTGTGGGTTAATGTGCTGAACCACAAAGTCGGTTTGAGCTGCAAGGTCTGCGGTTTAACCTCACCAGCCGCTCCTTGGCAACCTCATACAGGGTCCATACAGGGTCGCTATGGGTTGGAACCAACTTGATAGTATTTTACAACAACATAGCAAAAGGAGTCCTGGTGTGGTGCTGCAGGATTAGCACTGGACAGCAAGGCTGGTTTGATCCACACGGATGGTGGTTCAAACCCACCAGGTGTTCCTCAGAAACACTAATCAGGATTGCTAATTGTTTACTTCTCCTTCAGACATGAAGACCAGCCCCGCTGAGATTCCGTCCTGCGCGGCTGTATTGAGTAGCTGCAGCCCAGTTCTCCCCGCCCCACTTCTCCATCACCTAAGTGCGCAATATCGCCCCCTGGAGGACTCGATGGGTATCATGCTCCCTCTGCTGCCCCCAAACTATCTCTTCCGCTGTGAACTAAAAGCCGATAGAGTATCACTTTAAGGTGGAAAATGATGAAAATGAGCACCAGTTGTCATTAAGAACGGTCAGTTTAGGGGTTCGTGCAAAGGATGAATTGCACTTCGTTGAAGCAGGGTCAATGAATTATGACGGTAGCCTGATTAAAGTCACATTGGCTACTTTGAAAATGTCTGTACAACCAATAGTCTCCCTTGGGGGCTTTGGAATAACCCCACCAGTGGTTTAAGGGTTGAAGTGTGGCTCAGGGCCTGTGCATATTAGTGGACAGCACTTAGTAGCTGTGGAGGAACATTTAGAGTCAGATGATGAAGAGGAGAAAGATGTGAAACTCGTATCCGGAAAAGCGGTCTGCCCCTGCAAGTGGTAACAAGGTTCCACAGAAAAAAGTAAAGCTTGCTGCAGATGAAGATGATGATGATGACGAAGAAGATGATGATGAATGATTTTGATGATGATGAAACTGAAGAAAAAGTTCCAGTGAAGAAATCTATACAGGGTAATCCAGCCAAAAATGCACACAAATCAAACCCGAATGGAAAAGACTCAAAACCATCAACACCAAGATCAAAAGGTCAAGGATCATCCAAAAACAGGAAAAAACGCCTAAAACACTGAAAGGACCTAGTTCTGTAGAAGATATTAAAGAAAAAATGCAAACATGTATAGAAAAAGGTGGTTCCCTTCCCAAGGTGGAAGCCAAATTCATTAATTATGTGCAGAATTATTTCCGGATGACAGACCAAGAGGCTACTCAAGATCTCTGGCAGTGGAGGAAGTCTCTTTAAGAAAATAGTTGAAACAGTTTGATAAAAATTTCCATCTTATTTCATTTCTGTAACAGTTGATATCTGGGTGTCCTTTTTTATAATGCAGAGTGAGAAATTTCCCTACCATGTCTGGTAAGTGTTGTCCATGTTCCTTTACCAAGAATGTGCTGTCCAAAATGCCTGTTTAGTTTTTAAAGGTGGAACTCCACCCTTTGCTTGGTTCTAAGTATGAATGGACTGTTATGGTAGGACATAGTAGTAGCAGTGGTCAGACAAATGGAAATGGTGGGGAGACAAAAATATACATGTGAAATAAACTCAGTGTTTTAATAAAGTAAACAACAACAACAACAAAAATCAAGGCCAGCAGTCAATCATTGGAGACTAGAAGAGTGTGTATGTTGTGTGCCGTAAGTACTTGTTGGTACTCTTTCCCCAAAATAAAACCTAAATAAAATCACAAAATGAGTCAGTTTGGAAATCTTGGTAGAGATGGAGGTAGCATGGTCAACGTACTCTGCTCTACAGGGTCATTATGAGTTGGCATCAACTTTTTAAAAATAGAGATAAATCTCACAACCACTTCAAGTCCAAATTTATCTCTCTATAAAAATGGGCAGTGAGCCAATGAACTCCATTCAGTCATGAGTTTCATGATAGTGATGAATAAACTACAAAGACTGGGATCATAGATGAGCTGATGCTGTTGCTCCACAAAGCACAGCATTAAAAGCAAAACCAAAAACATCCAAGACTCTTGCCGTGAAGTCAATTCCGACTCATCGTGACCATCTAGAACGGAGTACAAGTGCCTCATTAGGACTTCCAAAGCTATAATCTTTACAGAAGCTACCTCTTTTTCCCTTGGAGCAGTTGGTGGAGTCCAACCACTGACGTTTTGGTTAGCATCCAAGAGCTTAACCACTATACCACCAGGGTTCCTAAGTAGACCACTAGTGTTGTACAAGAGGACTTTAGGAATACATGGATTGGTGTCTTTATTTTTATAAAGTACATTTTAACACATGTTAAGAAAAAATAAACCTGCGCAACAGACCTGTCATTTCACAGATCTTATCGCTTAGGACAGATTTAAAAAAACCCACAGAAATGTGAATTGATGTTATGAAAAATGTCAAATGATAGCCTACATGGCATGCACTTGACTGACATCCAGGGTACACTGCCATCGTGTATCATTTGTGACTACGTCCACGTGAGAACCCACTGGTAACTTGGCTTCAGCCACAGTGCTTTTGTCCATGATCTGGAATTTCAAAGTCCCTGAGGTGACCCGAGCACCTGCCATCCAAGATGGTACCTGTGTTGACGGCTTGCCAGCCCACAGAGAATGGAGTCCTGGCTTGAATGACGTACATGGTGATGGGGCTGTGGTTGTCAGGCCCTGGTCTCCAGGAGAGCTGAGCAGTTGTGTCTGTGATCTCATCTATGGTCACAGCCTCTGGGGGACCTGGGGGGCCTGGGAAAGAGCAAGACCATCAGAATTGGGGCATTGCGTAACAAACATCAAATAAGTGACCCAAGACACCGGCCCATTCAATCATTCATCCATTCACAGTCACTTGGTTGTCAAATCTGTTTACTAGGTGACAGCTTTTCGGTGATCTCTGAAATTGCAGAAGGAATGGGACATGTCCCTTTTTTCTAGAGGCTTATGGTATAATGAGAGTAAACAAAGTATAGTAAAATATTTATTCTAGAGGCTAAGAGAGAATACAGGAGTGCAAGGGCCCAATTCACTAACTCATCACATATTCAGGATTTTCTACTATAGGAGCTCTGGTAGCGTAGTGGTTACGAATCGGGCTGCGAATCTCAGGGCCAGCAGTTCGAAACTACCAGCTGTTCTGTGGCAGAAAGATGAGGCTTTCTCTGCTCTCATAAAGATTTACAGCCTCGGAAACCCTGAACAGGGTCGCTATGAATCAGAACCAACTCCACGGCACATAACAACAACAACTATAGTCTGGCACAGTGGCTACAACAATGGGGTGAAACATAATGGAATTGTGAAGGCGGCACATGACTGAACAGTGTCTTGTACTTTTATACACAGGGTTGCTATGAGTCAGAACCAACTTGACGGCACTTAACTACGCCAGTATGGGTCAAAAGGAACGCTGTTCAAACCCACCAGCTGCTCCATGGGAAGAAGGTGTGGCTTTCTGCTTCCATAAATATTAGAGTCTTAGAAACCTTATGGGGCAGTTACACTCTGCTTTCCAGGGTCATTATGAGTTGGCATCAACTCAATGACACACAATAACACTATGGATCAAGGAGTCCCTGTGTGGTACTAACATTTAAGTGTTGGGCTTGCTATCTCAAAGGTTGGCAGTTCAAACCTAACCAGAGGCCATCTCTCATAAAATTGTCATTACTGACCGTTAAGAAGCCGAGCACCAGAAGAAAGGTCTACTGATTAGCTTCGGAACGGTCAGTCATGAAAATATTATGAGGCACAGTTGGGTTCTGAAACCCTTGGGTCACCAGGAGTGGATGAGACAGGACAACTGGCTTTTATTTTACTATGGATCAGCTGCCTTTATCTAGGGATGCTGTAGTTTAGCTGTGAGGTAATGTCCAGCCAGCCCTCAGCTCACGGGGCCCCATGCTCAGCAAAAAGAAACGTTGCTCATTTTCAAATGTAGATTGCCAGGACTTTCCTCCTCGTTCATCTTAGCCTGGAGTTTCTTCAGCATCACTCTCCCAGCGCCAAATGTGAGAACACAGCTGTGCGGACTTGCTTTCTCAAAGTAATTTCAAAATTGAGCTGGAATCTAAAGACTCTCATTTACAGTGTCGGTGAGTCACACCGGTGTAATTCTACTTTTCCTCCTCATGTTCATTGTTTTGGCCCATGTACTTTAACCATTTAAGGGGGATGAAATGAGATTTAAATGAAGGCTTGGAAATCATAATGGGAAAAAGAGGAAATCGGATAGGAAAACAGTTGGCAGGCAAACACAAAATATCACAGAGCCAGAGCAAAGACCCAAAGCTAGACATGTTTCAAATGCGAACAGCTCTTACCAGGCAGTAAAACGCATTTTTAACAAGCCACACTTGACCGCCCTGGGAGAAGACGTGATTGCAAGGAGGACTGAATGACAGACCTCATGCCCATTAGACAGACATAAAGAAATTTTCCTAGGAGGGATTTGCTAATTCCCAATATCGTAATCCAATGTGCTGCCAAAATACTACTGGGCCATATCACAAGAAAATGGATAAAGAGACCCCTAACAGTGGCTTTCTACTCCCGTAAGGATTTACACCCTCGGAAACCCTGTACAGGGTCGCTATGGGTCGGAACCGACTCGAAGGCACTTAACAACAACAACAACAACAGTGGTGAAAAGTTACTGGCAATTTCCTGAAGCAAGACTTTGCTCTGGTTTCCCCTCCTGCACCCCTTACGTAATGCCCCCAATTTCTCTTTCCTTTTTTAAAACTCATTTTATAGACCCACAGGTGAGACTAAATTTATCTTCTCCCTCCCACTCCTGAGTGAAATGTCTGGCAATCTGTAGGTTGAAACTGATTAATTTTCCATGGTGACATTTCAGCATGTCAGTCTAATGCCAACCAGATAGAGCTGAGGGAATCTTTGCTCTTTGGGACCCTTATTAACTAGATAAATTCCAGAAGGCAATATAATCTTTTTTCCCTTCCCTCCCTCTCTCCAGCTTTCTCATCCTAGCATTCCCGTCTTTTTGTCTTTATGGGTGCTTCTTTAGTAACCTTTAATTTAGTAGTGCCACAAATAGAAAATTGTTCTTCTCAGAACTCCCCAAAGAACGGAATCAACAGAAAGGATCTGAGCCCACTGTTAACAATCGAGTACGAAGATAAGGAAGGGGTGGTGTGAATTTGGGCATTAGAGTTAAGACAGACCTTTCATCATTACTTTGTCTTTATCTTCTTGCTATCCATGCCTACCAGTGTGAAAATACAACCTTACAGACTGTTTACCAACCTGGTTTTGGGGAAGTTGGTCCCGCTTTCAAAATGACAGTGTGCAAATGTTTACCCTCTGAACAAAATGATAATGTGGTTAAAGACTTTTAGCAACGTTTGTCACAAGGGGGGTATATTGGCTTGATCCCCTCTTCTGCTTCTTGCTTACAAATGTCTGGCTCACCCCTTCTTGCTTTTCTAGTTGCCATTAAAGTCCTACAGATTAAGCACAGTAACCATCAGAAAAAATCAATGGTGCCCGAACAAAGATCAAAAGCTACACTAGTTTTCAGTATAAAGTTCTCTCACAGGGCAGTTCAATGTATTACAGCCTCCCCTCTGTGGTATGCAGAAAAGTACAAGGGCAGAGCTGGAGAAGATAAAAACTCACGTTTATAGCTCTAAATGGCATATTAATTTATTGGCTTTATTAGCTGATTAGACTAGATTTTCTTTTAGACTGCGCTTGCAAATTCCTCTTGGTATTTAATGTTATTTTCTGTGAAATGAAGTATACAATATCATTTAAGAACTTCAAGTATTACTGATTTAAATATTTATTAGTCTAATTTATTGGTGTTTAAACTGCTGATCTGAACATTATCCTAATTAAATAGAGGATAAATTCTTAGCAACAGAATTCCTTTGTTCCCAAGGGGAAAGCAGATGAGCACTGGTGTATTTTAAAATGGAGATAAACACATTTCCAAAACATATTCTACAGACACATCTACCCAGGTTTAAAGTTTGTTCTCTTGCCTGGCCCTCATTGGGAAAGGCTTGTAGATAATTTAAGAGGGAACCAAAGCAAACACAATGTAAAAGCTATGTTTCAAGAACCTCTCTTGACAATTAGTTTAGGTTGCTAACTCCCACACATTTTTCTCCTACTCTATGCCCGGGAGATATAGCAACACTTTTGCTATTTCCAATAATACTTTGTTCTCTGTGCACTCAAGTTCACCCTGCCTTCAATTCTGAAATCCTGGCAGTTCACTACAGCACTCTAAGATCTGCCCTGGTCCCCACCACTTGGTATGTAACCATCAACAGCGTGGAATCCAGATGAAAGAGCTGTGAACCAAGAGATTACTTTGATGCTCCTGTTTGACCATAGTTTTAACTTCGGAAAACCCAGAGCATCAATTTCATTCTGGTATGTACACAGGATCACAAGAAATTTCTTTTGCATTAAAAATAAATTTTTTTTCTATTTTTTGTTGTGAAATATTACAAAAGAAACCATCTGTCATTCAATTATTCTCCATGTGTACTTCATTAGCATTGTTTAGATTCTTTCAGTTACATAACCAAGATCACTCTCCTTATTTATTTATTTATTTTTTAACTTTTTATTGTGATTTGAGTAAAGGTTTACAGAGCAGATCACCAGTTTTACATTCAACAAATCACATACTTGGCTTCATTATGTGGATGCAATCCCTTCCATGCACTAACAGTTAACAGCATTTACGGCTATTTTCTTTAACCACTGCATGCCTTCCTGTGTCTCCCGCCATCCCATCTTTCCTCTGCCAACCTTCCTCCAGTGTATACTGACTGCCCTGACACTTAAGTCAACGTGTATCACTAACCTTTTCCCAAATAATCTCATCATCCTTAACATACACTCAGAGCTCCCTAAGCAAGAACTCTCCCACCCCCTAAACACCAGTAAGTGAGATCATAGAGGGTTTGTCCTTTTATAACTGATTTACTTCACTCAGCATAATGTTTGCAAGGTTTATCCATGTTGGGGAATGCATCAGGACCACACTTCTCTTTACGGCGGACTTGCCTTCAATTGTGTATATTTACCACATCGTGTTCATCCACTCAACTGTTGATGGACACTGTGGTTGCTTGCACTTTTTTGCTATTATCAATTTAGCAGTAATGAACATTAGTGTACAAGTTTCTGCTTGTGCTCTTGCCTCCAGTTGTTTTGGAAATGTGCTTAGAGAGCTGAATTTCTGGATCATGTAGTGATTCTATGTTCTGTTTTTTGAAGAACAGCTGAACTTTTCTCCATAGTTGTACCATTTTACGTTTCTACCAGAACTGAAAGAGGCTTCCAATTTCCCTACAACCTTGCCAATATAACCTAGTGTAGAGCTGTAGGATAAGCATTGAATTGCATGGTCAACGGTTCAAACTCACCAGTTGCTCCTTGGAGACCTTATATAGGTGGTTATAAATTAGAACCAATTTGATGGCACTTAGCAACAACAATCTATTTATTTATATCATAGCCATTTAGTGGGGGTGTGGTGATATCTCTTAAAAAATACATTTTTGGTAAGCCAGTTTTCTGTTCCATTAAAAACGAATTTGGTCAGACTTGGAAGAAGTCAATTGTTACAGCTCAGCCAGGTGCTGAATGCTGTTAGGGTCCAGTTAGGCCATGTTGGTAGTTCCAAAGAGATGCTCACAAATATTAGTTTTTGTATCAACTCTCAGCTTATTTACTACAACACAGGCAATCATGAGGCCTTTCCCTCCAAAGCTCTATTTGAGAAACTGGGCAGTACTATTACCTTTAGGCATAAGAAGGATTTTACTTAAGCTACTGTTACACCAACCGTCCAAAACCAGAATTAGCAATTGAGTAAATTCTGACTCATAAGACCCTAGTAAGGTTTCTGGAAAAAGCCTCATCTTTTTCACGCAGAGCAGCTGATAGGTTTTAACAGCCAACCTAGTGGCTAGCAGTCACATGCTTATCCCATAACAACCCCCCCCCCCCACACACACACCCCTATACAGGGTTGCTTTGGGTCATAACCGACTGTGCGGCGTACACTACTACCACCACCACCATCACCATCTACCCCCCCCCCCCCCCACACACACCCCTGGGTTCCTTTGCTGTTACACTGGCAGCCAAAAACACTAACGTGGTTTATCTCAAATGATACATCAACGTTACAGTCTAATCTTTTTATTCTTTTTATATAGGCCATTAATTTTTGTTAATTTCCAGTTAGTCTTTTGTTGTCCAGTTGTTAAATGCCATCCAGGCCGTTCTGTGACTCATAGCGACCCTGACCCTGTATGTGGTCTCCAAGGGGCAGCTGGTGAGTTTGAACTGCTGACCTTGAGGTTCAAACCAACCTTGTGGCCCAGTGCTTATCCTAGAAAGGTTTGTAAGTTCCAACAGAAACGAACGGAGCACTCACTCACAGGAGGTTTTTGTTTTGTTTTGTTTTTTAATGTAAAGAAACTGAATTCGTTTAGTGTATTTTCTGACACTGCTCTATGAGAAACACACACACACGAAAACTTCTGCATACTTTTCACCACTGTTCACAATGTTCAACTTCTACCTGACTTTTTCTTATAATTGTAAAACCACTGAAGTTTTAGAAACTCTGTGTTAGAGTAGATATCATAACCATACTGTAAGGACCAAGAAAAAAGAAAAAAACACCAAAAACAACAAAATCCAAATACCTCTGACAATCAGGTCTGCAGCAGCTGATAGCTTGTCCACACTTGTTTGTACCAGACAGACGTATTTCCCAGCATGCTTCAGCTGGATGTTTCGGATCATCAAATCACCAGCTGAATCCTGCTGATAAAGTAGGGGAAAGTGGCTACAATTACTTTTTAATGAGCTCTAAATATCATTATCACATGGAGGACACTGTGACTAATGGATTTATTTTACACTGGCTGATGAAAACATTAGTGATGCAAACCATGGCCTATTAAAAATATGTGAGCCTGCCTGGGAGATAAGAACCACACCGTCTTCCAAACAGGCCTTTGACAAGACCTCAGATGTCTGGCTTTCCTGGAACAGTCTCTGTCCATGTTGGAAGTACTTAAACTTAAGTAAAGTGACTCTGGATCGAATCCTGTGTGTTTCTATAGACATGCCCTCAGGCTATACGTTCACTGACATTCTGTTACTTTGAAACTCTGTGTTTGGAATGAGGAAGAAGCTAACTCCACCTTTTGGCAGCATCTGCATTTTACTGCACATCTTTGACTTAGAGCCAGCAGGTTGGCTGTTCCCAGGTTTGAATGAAAGGATTTAAGAGGACCAGACTCTCTAAGGAAATGTTACATCACCTAATGCGGAACGGTGCTAATTTGTTTTCCAAATGCCAAATACACGTTTGATTAGCAGAAGAATTGGACTAATTAGATTCTGGTATGGATGTCTACGTGGCACAGAAATATTTCTGGCCTGTTCACATGCACAGTGCTTTAAATAAATAAATATGTAGAGATACCTCTATTTGTTATCACAAATAAACAGCAGTTTAATTGAAGAAATGGCTATACGTTGGAATTTGATTTTATAGCTTTGTTAATCAGTAGACTAAAGAACCTATATTGAGCAAAAGAACACCCTAAGGGCAGGATTGAGGGAGCTTTACTTGTTTCATGGGAACATCAAATGAAGACAAGAAGTCTCGGCATATTGCCTTCTTCATCTGTTTTCTCACCCCAAACTATAGACTTGAACGTAAACATGGACCCTTGTGTTTTCATTCCTTCAAATAACTATTTGCTGTTGTTAAGTGCCTTCAAGGCAGTTCCAAATCATAGTGATTTTGTGTAGGGTTTCAGAGGTTATAAATCTTTGCAGGAGCAGAAAGCCTCATCTTTCTCCCTAACAATAACAATTATGTTGTTCTTACATACCGTCGAGTCGATTCTGATCCATAGTAACTCTATATAGGGTTTCAGACGAGCGACTAGTGAGCTTAAACCATTGACTTTGTGGTTCAAACCAACTCTGCAGTCCAATACATTAGCCCACAGCACCACACCAGGACTCCAACAGCTCATGCTTAATGGTATTAATGCATAGATGGCAGGCGGTTTTCAAGTTTTCTGCGAATATTAACTCAATAAATCTAAATACCTCCAAGGTAGGTACTCTTGTTTTCCTGATTTTATGATTGAAGAAGCTTAAGCACAAAGACTGAGTTGCTGAAAATTAGTTAGCTAGTGAATGGTAGGGTCAGAATTTGAACCCACAGTTTTCTTACGTTCCAGAAAGAACGTATCCTCATTTGAAATGAATCCTTACGTATCCTCATTTGAAATGAATTCATACTGGACTTCCTTCCTTGGTGTCAGTACTATACATCCATATTTATAAAGGACAATGGCAAAACATGGATCTACCAGTTATTGTAAATGGTGTTAGAAGCAATGCTAAATAAGGATGACAGCTCAAGTTTCTGGGACTTAGTTGTCTTGGGTTTTATGTGTAGAAGTCTCTTAATCTCTCTGGGTCTTAGTTTATTGATCAGTAAAAGCAGGATGCATGCCATTTGTGCTGGGTAGTGAAAATCATGTATGTGAAATTATTCTGAACACTGCAAAGTGCATGGTAAATTTAAGTTGGATGACCATAATCAAACGTCTTTACGAAACAATCAAGATAAAGATATTAAATTTAAGTCAAGAAGGATAAAGCTAGCAAATCGAATTCAAGTGGAGCTGTGTATTTTTTTATGTGGAAGCTCTTTTATTTATAATATGGGTTCTCATCCTAATTTCACTGTCTCATATATCCATAAAGTGAGTTAAAGATTGCTCATCCATTTCTGTTGATGACTGAGGAATATATAACCATAATTTCATTATGAATTAGGTCTTCCTCTTGTTTGTTGATTCTCTACTTTACCAAGCAAGATGTTCTTCCTTAGGGACTGGTCTCTCCTGATAACATGATCAAAGAATGTGAGATGAAGTCATTCTTGTATTAAAGAAAACTCTGACTGTCCTTCTGGCAGTCCATAAGTCTATTCAATACTACATGCTATCACCATAATTCAAAGGCATGCATTCTTCTTCAGTTGTCCTTATTCATTGTCCAGCTTTCATATGCATATAAGTCTACTAAAAATGCCCTGGCTTGGTTCAGGCACATCTTAAGGCGACTTGACATCTTTACTTTTTAACAGTTTAAAAAGGGCTTTTGCAGCAGATTTTCCCAATGGAATATGGCATTTAATTTCTTGACTGCAACTTCTATGGGCAATTTTTGTAGATTCAAGTAAAAACAAAATCCTTGACAACTTCAGGATTTTTTCCACGTATCACCAGGTGGCTTATTAGTCTAGTGTGAGGATGTTTGTTTTCTTTATGTTGAGATGTAATCCAACTGAATGTTGTAGGCTTTGATCTTGGTCTGTAAATGTTTCAACTCTTCTTAATTTTCAGCAAGATTATATTTCACAAATGTCATCTGTATGTCACAAGTGTTAAATACTCTTTCTCCAATCCGGATTCTGTGTTCTTCATCACATATGGTGTTGTGGTTAAGTACTTTCATGTCAATTCTGACTAACCCTGTATAGAGCTTCTAAGGAGTGGCTGGTGGGTGTGAACTGCTGACTTTGCAGTTAGTAGTCCAGTGCTTATCTTACAGTGTCACACCAGGACTCCATTATATATGAGTGAGCGTCAAAAAGTTCATGGAAAAAGAGAATGAAAAGATAATGAAATGATTCCAAGAACTTTTAAAGTCCCTTTGTAGTCTAGCTCCTTGGATTATTTGCTCAATATACAGACTGAATAAAGAAGGTGAAAGGATACAGCTCTGACACACACCTTTTCTGATTTTAAGATACACAGCATCTCCTTGTTTGGTTTGAACAACTCCCTCTTGTACAGGTTCTTCATGACCAAAATAAACTGTTACGGAATTTCCATTCTTCACAATGTTATCCGTAAATTGTTATAATCCACACAGTTGAATGTTTTTGCATAGCCAATAAAACACAGGTAGACATCTTTCTGATATACATATATATATACACACACATATGCTTAATATGAAGAGCAAAGATGTCAGCTTGAGGACTAAGGTGCACCTGACCCAAGCCATGGTATTTTCAATAACATCATATGAATGTGAAAGCTGGACAGTGAATAAAGAAGATCGTAGAAGAATTGATGCCTTTGAATTGTGGTGTTGGAGGAGAATCCTGAAAGTGCCATGGACTGCCAAAAGAACCAATAGATCTGTTTTGGAAGAAGTGCAGCCAGAAGGCTCATTGGATGCCAAGATGGCTAAACGTCGTCTCTCATACTTTGGACATATTATCAGGAGGGAACAGTAGCTGGAGAAGGATATTATGCTTGGTAAGATGGAGGGTCAGAGAAAAAGAGGAAGATCCCCAACGAGATGGATCATCCTGGAGGCATCATTAATGGACTCAGGTGTGGCAACAATAGTGAGGTTGGCCCAGGATCGGGCATTGTTTCGTTCTGCTGTGCACGGAGTCGCTATGAGTTGGTTCTGACTTGATGGCGCCTGACAACAACAACATGCTTAATATATATTCTATATAAGCTCTTTGGAGCCCTGGTGTGGAGCTGTGGGTTAATGTGCTGGACTACAAAATTGGTTTGAACTGCAAGGTTGGCTGTTCAGGCTTATCAGGTACTCCTCGGAAACCCTATACAGAGTCGCTATGAGTCGGAACTGAGTCTATGGCACGTAACAACAACAACAACAACAACATATAAGGAATTTAAAACATATAAGGAATGGTCAATATCATCATGACTACTTTTCCCCCTATGACAGTTCACATGGTCTCACTTTGAGTACATTGTTGTTGTGTGGCATCAAGGTGATTACAACGTTTGTTGCTGTTAGGTGCCGTCGCATCGGTTCTGACTCATAGTGACTCTGTATACGGTTTCCAAGCCTGTAAAGCTTTCAAAACAGTATTATGTTACAAAAGCAGAAAGCCACATCTTTTTCCTGCAGAGCAGTTGGTGGGTTTTAATTGCCCACCTTATGGTTAGCAGTCCAGTGCTTATCCTACAATGCCACTAACACTGTGGACTTTTAGTGTAGGTTTAAACAAACAAATATGCCTGGTGAAAGGATGTGTTTGGGAAAGATGGGAAGCCATAGCAGTGTTAAGAAGATGTCTACTTTCTAGCAATAATTCAGTAATTAATTTTATTCACTATAGGCTTGAATGAAGATCAAACTTGTTGCTTCTAGGCTTCTTAGTATAACAATTGATTAACAAAACTTACTGACTGGTTTAGAATGTACTCTGCTTATGGACACTTTTTTGACTTGTTTTATATTTTTTAAGTAACAGTGAAGCAGAAAAACAAGTTTGCATTGAGGTCAGACTCTCACAGAAGGAGCCCAGAATAACTGAATGATGTCATTCAGACCAAACTCTTAACTGACATCTCAGTGATTCTACCAAGGAGAATAAAAGAGTAGCCGCTTATTTCCCCCTACTGTGGTCTGTTCCAATCCTGACTCTGTACTCGGGGCCTTTCAGAAGACGAAGAAACAACAGCATTGACAAAAACCGTCTTCTCATTGGCTGGATTCCAACTCATAGCAGCCCTGTGGGACAGAGCAGGACTGTCCCATAGGATTCCCAAGGGTGTACATTTTTGCAGATGTAGACAACCACATCTTGCCTGGTGGTTTGAACAACTGACCTTTCAGTTAGCAGCTGAGTCCTTAACCACTGCCTCTATTAAGCATTTCTTCCAACAGGTCAACCCAGGAAGTAGACATCATTCAGCTACTTTCTAGTGTCAAGTCTTCCATAGACATGCATGCTCCTATTTCTCCCATTTCTGGTGCCTGTCCTCACATTTGCACTTAGTTCTTTGAACTGGTTGACTGGTGCTAGCGTGAGTGACATAGAGGCTCTACAAATACGACCTTCAGTGCTTGAGTCCAGTGGGGTGTCTTCACCTGAGCCTCAGCCCTGGCTAACATGCTGGCACCAGTCCATCATAAAGGACACATGCAAATGACTGCTAGGGTTTCCATTTTGTTGGGTCAGCAATCTATTCTGGTGGGTTAGTGCCCATATCATTCTGGGAGCTAATATTTTTAACATCTCCTGTGCCCAAGTCATTGGTCTTAGAATGGGAACAAGTATTCTACTTAATTTATTGAAATGTTCTCAGTTTACACTTCCCCTTTATTAGAATCAATGCTGTTCTTGTTAGTTGCCATTGAGTTGTCCCCCAAGTCAACAGACATGCTACCCAGTTTTGCACCTTTCCTGTGATCCAGATATACTTTCCCTAGGATCAAGAATCAATTTTGTCCTTTCTTTAATTTAATATTAACATTGATATTATGCTACACTTCCTATAATTTATGTGACCATTGAAGTTTATCAAGGATTCCTTGGCAAGTATTGGGTTATTTTGTGGATGAGAAATATCCTCAATGCTCTTATGAAGTTGTTTTTTTTCTTTCTCATTTGGCCAAAGTTTTTAGGTGAAATGTCATATGCAATAGGATCAAAAGGGTTAAAATAGGCAATTCTATAAGGTCTTTCTCAAGCTGGGTTTCAAGAGAGAATCCCTAATGATTTAATCGCTAGTGGTCCGTGACATTCACTGATGTAATGAAATTCTCCTTTGAATCTAAAATGGTACCTACTGCATACCATATATGGGACAATTGTGAAAATCGTGACACGAGAGTAATTTTCAATGTTCTGTGATTGATATAATGAGGCTTGGTCACACTGTAGGATAAGTACTGGATGTTAACTACATGGTCGGCAGTTCAAACCCACTAGCCACTCTTCAGAAGAAACATGAAGCTTTCTGCCCTTCTACAGATTTTCATTTGAATTATGATGTTGGAGAAGAATGTTGGAAGTACCAAGAACAAACAAATCTATACTGGAAGAAGTGAAGTCAGAATGCTCCTTGGAGGCAAGGATGGCAAGACTTTGCCTCTTCTACTTTCAGAAGAGCCCAGTCCCTGGAGAAGCACATCATGCTTGGCAAAGTAGAGGGTCTTTGAAAAAAAGAAAAAGCTCAACAAATGGATTAGCATGGTACCAGCAAAAATGGCTTCAAATGTAACAATTGTGAGGATGGGGCAAGATAGAGCAGTGTTTTGTCCTGTTTTGCATAAGGTCACTATGAGTTGGAACAAAGGAGATGGTACCTAACAACAATAATGGACTGCCTGAAGAACAAAGCCATTTGTCTCTCGTATAAAGTGTATGTTGTAAGGAAAGACCAGAACCTGGATAAGGACATTGTGCTTGGTCAGTTGGTCAGTGGGAAACCAGATGACTGGACACAGTGGTGGCATCAATGGGCTCAGACATAACAACAGTTATGAGGATGGCGCAGGACTGACTGGGGCTCTGTTATACCTGGAGTCACTATACGTCTGAACCAACTGGACAGCACCTAGAAACAGCATGGATTTGCAGCATAGAAAACCCTATACAGGGTCACTAGGAGTGGAAATGGACTCAAGGGTAGTGTGGGTGTGTGACTCATAGGAGAAGCCATTGAAAAAGGCAGTCAGGTTGTGATTAATAGAACTGGCATTGCAGGTGAGTATAAATATATATTATGGGAGAGTCCCTCAGTGGCACAAAATTGTTTACACTCTCAGCTGCTAACCAAAAAGGTTGAATGTCAATCCCACCCAGTTGCTACACAAAAGAAGGGCCTACTGATGTACTTCTGATAAATCAGCCATTGAAAATCAATGGGACACACTTCCACTCTGATCATTTTGGGTGTCGCCAGGATTCGAAGTCAATTCAGTTATATGATATGGATAGTGTTGTAAGTTTTAAATCATTTTTTCCTCAACATTGCAGGAACTGTGAGGATGGCATAGGACCAGGCAGTGTTTTATTCTGTTGTGCACAGAGTTTCTATGAATTAGAACCGACTTAACAGCACTGGTAGCGTAGTGGTTACGAATCAGGCTGCGAAACTTAAGGTTAGCAGTACGAAACTACCAGCTGTTCCGCAGGAGAAAGATGAGGCTTTCTGCAACCATAAAGATTTACAGCCTCAGAAACCCTGTACAGGGTCACTATGAGTCGGAATGGACTCCATGGCACATCACAACAACCACCAACAACAGCATATAACAACTACAACAAGAGGAGGGATAAGACAAAACAGCACATCAGGCTCTATGACAGTGTAGGAAAGAAGCAACCCACTGCCATTGAGGTGATTCCACAGCCACTCTGTAAAGGGGTTCTGAGTCTATACATCTTTATGGAAGCAGAAAGCCTCATTTCTTCCCAAGTAACAGTTAGTGGATTTGAACTGCCAATCTAAAAAAGTACCAGTGTTCTTTTTTAAAGAATGTGCTGTCTAGACAGTTACAACTCCTAGTGACCTTGTATGGGGTTTCTGATGTTGTGAATCTTTGTGAGAGGAGAAAGCCTCATGGTTCTCTCTTGGGGTAGCTGGTGGGGTGGCTTTGAACTGCTGACCTTCTGGTTTGTAGTCCAGCGTGGATCCTACAAGCCCTCTTTTGATATTCTACTTCCGGTTGGTTGAGTCCCTGCATGCCGATGGCAGCAAATGAGCGTCCTAGTTATTTATGGAACTGTAGGGAGGCATTAGGTAGGGCAGCAAAATCCCCAGACAAACAAAAAACAGTTTGGAAATTATAGTCTCAAGTTGATTCCATCTATAACCTATTCTTGTTGTGTGTACAATGATAATAAGTATCTTATTGGCAAATAAGGCATTTTGAAAATTTAGTCTTTCTTAATTCAAATTACTTGGCTATGAAGGACTTGATAAATTATTTACATATTTACAAAATAGAACCCTACTGGGCATTTCAGCTGCAACTCACAAATACTGAGAGCAATTTTTCCTAGGTGTTTTCTTATTCAGGTTCTATGTTGTATGGCATGCTGTGGGGCACAGAGCTTCAGAAATGAAATGTAAAGGTGAGTTCTGCGATTTAGTAGTGATGAAGTGCTATGTATATCTGAGTCTCAGTTTCCTTACTGGTACCACAGGGAGGATGAGGGAGAAGGACTCACTTCTCTAAAGAAGTTGCTGTTCAGTAGAGCCAGCTCCTGGAGACTCCATGTGTGCAGATTACATAGAACTGCTCCTTAGGAGTCCTGGTGTGGCGCTGTGGGTTAGTGCACCAGACTGCAAAGCCATCAGAACTGCAAGGTCAGAGGTTCAAGCTTACCAGCTGCTCCTCGGAAACCCTATACAAGGTCACTATGGGTCAGAAGCGACTCAACAGCACTTAACAACAACAACAATTACAACAGCATAGGGTTCTCAAGGCTGTGACCTTTCACAAACAGGTCACCAGGCCTTACTTTTCAAAAGCTTCTGGAATGGTTTGAACTGCCAATTTTTTGATTAACAATCAAGAGCACTTAACCATCTGCACCATCCAAGGGCGACTGCTAAATAAGTACTGCATTTGTCATACAAAACAGGAGGAGTTAACCAAGAGATTCTTCAGCTAAGGTGCTTGACCAAAACTGTAAAATAATTTATTTTTAACATACATTAAACAAGACAGCATGAGTCCATTTCGAGACATTAAGCTGAATTCTGTGTTTCATGGTGTTCATTTGATATTAATACTTACCCCCCCAACTCTTTCAAAGTGGTCGCCATCTTTGTCGAAGTCTATTGGGTGTCCATGAAAGGTCCATGTGAACACGATGTCTAATGAATGATCATGTGTGACCTGGCAGGGCAGAACAATACTTTCTCCAACAGTGACATCCATACTGGCAGGGGGTACCATTACTCTTGTTGGATCTAGAGCATTCACATGAAACAAAAGAACACAAAGAAGAAAGGCTAGAAACGTGTGTGGGAAGAACACGCCGAATCTGAGAGCAGGAAGCAATGCAAACTAGTTTTGCTTTATTTATTTTTTTCTGAGGCTATAACCAGCAAACCTCAGTCATCTGGGAAGAGCGGGCTCAGGTCATGAGGTCATTTTTAATATGAAAAGATGAAAACCTTCATTATGTGAACCCTCTCAGAGCACTGGAACTCAAATGGGGAGCACTGAGGTGAGGTCTCTGAAGACTTTTATGCAGATGCACATTTTCTGAGACTCCTGCTTCAAACAGCTTTTCCTACCTCACTTTCAGTTTCTCTAGAAAGCAGCATTTCAGCTAAGTGCAAACAGAAAAAGCCATATTAATTTAAGGTGGACTTTTTTAAATTATAAAAGTAATAAAATGTTTATTAGGGGAAATGTAGAAAATTCAGAAAAGTAAAACCAAGAGGCAAAAAAGAAAACAGAAAAACCATGTAGTATTTTACTACCCAGATAAAACGTTTTTCTTCATTTTACTATAGTATCTCCCAAACAATTGTGAGACGAGTGCAGGATCAGGCAATATTTGTTCTGCTGTGCATAGGGTAGCTATGAATGGAAACAGACTCAACAGTACCTATCAGGAAAATGTTGAACATCAGTTACATCTGGAATTTGTATATTCCTTTCCTTCTTTCGTATTAAGAGCTATCACTTATTTTTTGAATTTACTCTTTACATTATGGTATTTGCTGGGGAAAGCTTGGGTTTGCTTAGCCTAGACAGTTAAAAAAATTTCAACAACTGCATTAACATATAATAAGGAGCTCTGGTGGAATAATGGTTAAGCACTTGCCTGCTAAAAATGAAAGGGTGGAAGTTTGAACCTTCCAGCAATAAGATGTACGGATTTGTTCTTGTAAAGATTACTGCCTAGGAAACACAGTGCGGACAGTTCTACTTTTGTCATATAAGGTTGCTATCAGTTGGAATCAACTCAAGAAAGCACAGGAATATAAATAGCTCTTTTCACCTTTATTCTAACAATAACAACAACAAGTTACCACTTACTGATGATTCAACTTAGACTCATGTTGACTGCATGTATGTCAGAGTAGAACTGTACTCCATGAGGTTTTCCATGGTTGTACATTGCTTGGTCTTTCTATGGTGTCTCTGGGTTAACTCCAAACTCCAACCTCAGGGAAGCAGCTGAACAAGTTACCCAGTCACTCCTACTTACAGGCAGCCTTTTATTTTTCATGCAACATCATTTCATAAATGGTGTCTGAGAATACAGTGATTAAAAACAGTCTGAGTTCAACATAAAGTCCATAAAAGTATTTACAACATGAAAAATCCTGATTTCAGCTATATCCCAGAAATCTCTATGGAAAAAAAAAAAAAAAAAAATCTCTGTAAATTTCTATAAACAAAACAAATTGAAACGCAAATCAAAAACAAACCAAGCAAGAGAAAGACATTGATTGACCAGATCATACATTCACAGGATTGTGTTTCAGGCTGGGAGGCATATATAAATATTTCTTAAGTGAGCCTCTAGGATTAAGATTTCAACTGAGAATTTTGAAATTAGATCCCTTAGGAGACTTCTGATGGGTCTTTTCTTCAGAAACTTACTCTACAATTTTTTTCTTTAAACAGAATTTTTAAAACCAAATTTTCTATTCTTTTTCCAAGTTTTGGGAACAGAAAATCTCTGCCCTACATAAATTATAAGCTTGTAGCAGGACGCAGAAAATAGCAGTTGTGGAGCGGGTCCAAAATCAGTAGGACTGTTAGAAAGCAAACAAGGCTTTCTTGATTTCAAAGGGTGGGACAAAAGTCTGCTGGATTTCAAAGGTTGGGTCCTTAGAAAGAGAAAGAAGGCTAAGGAGTACAGGTGGCTCGAGAAGGTATCACTGCAAGAGTAATGAAGTTACTTCCTGAGAGAGGTAACAAACAGAAGTGATTTTATGTTCAATGTTCTGGCTCTGATTCTAAGTTCACACATCAAACTTTTGAGTGCAGAGTCAAATGTTCAGGCCTCCTTCCTTAAAAATATCTTTGCTTCTTATCTCCTGACAACTTCTTGGCCAGCAGCATGGCGTTGGCCTGTACCCTAAGCCCTAGACTCCTTTGACTAACTCATATTTTTATTTCAGAAGAAACATTTATCTCGTTATGCACGTGCAAGGACCTGGGGCAGATGTTTCTTATTGGTGAACTCAACTCAGATGCCTGTTAACCAAGGACCAAAGAAGTTTGTAAATTCAGGACTTTGTTGGTACAGTTGCAGTCCTAAGTCATTACCTTAGCATTTTGTCCCCGCTCATGTTCTGAGCCCTGCAGTAGTAAGAATCAATGCAAAGCAGGTCATGTACTGTACACACCCCAGAGAGGTGTCCTTGGGACTCTAGAAGATTAAACAGAAGAGGTTCAAAACCTCATTAGCTACTAGGTTTTCTCAAATTGTATGTTTATTCCTTACTCCTGTTTTCTGTGTTGTGAATTCTGATGCTTCTTACTTGATTAATTTCCTTAAATTTGAATACAAACGCTATATACAAGTACACAGATGGCTTCTTTCAAAACAAAACTGTCTTCCCTCCTTTGGTTTTAATTCATCAGGATCAGGAAGAACCTGTTGTTATGACTTCTGTGCTAAAGAGTCACTGCAGCTATTGTTCTGTGCATAGAACTCTCACAAACAATTAGAAATCAAGATGTGAATTGATGGATGGATTTGAATGTTGTTAAATAGCAACAATAAATAGAATCATCACCACCACCACACTGCCCTACTCATGGTTGGTTCATACTATGGAGAATGATGGATTCAGAGTATTGATGCTCAAAAATGTATGTTTCCCAAGTGCTTGTTTTTGTTGTTGTTGTTAGGTGCCATCGAGTCAGTACCGACCCATAGCGACCTTATGCACAGCAGAACGAAACACTGCTCCATCCTGGGCCAACCTCACTACTGTTGCCACGCTTGAGTCTATTGATGCTGCTACTTGGCCAGTCCATCTCGTTGGGGGTCTTCTTCTTTTTCTCTGACCTTCCACCTTAACAAACATGATATCCTTCTCCACTGACTGGTCCCTCCTGACAATATGCCCAAAGTATGACAGACGAAGTTTGGCCATCTTGGCCTCTAAGGAGCACCATTCTAAAGTTACTGTTGGTATTGTTAAGTGCCTTCCAGTTGATTCTGACCCATAACGACTCTGTATATGGTTTCCAAGGAGCAGCTGGTGAGCTTGAACCACAGACCCTGCAGTTCAAACGACTTTACAGTCTGACGCATCAGCCCACAGCACCTAAGAAGCCCCGAACGCCTACTGGTTTATGTTCAGCAGTTCAAATGTAGCCGCTTCTCAAGAGAAACATGAGACTTTCTGCCCCATAAAGATTTACAGTCTTGGAAACCTTATCCAAGGTCACTATGAGTTGGAACTGACCACTACCATCATAATGTTGTCCATGACTGAATGTAAACTCAGTGCTTTTTCCAAGGACCATAGTGATTATCAAAAAAGAAGTTATATGTTAATGATCATATTAGCAAGGGGATGCATAAATTATAACTTTATTCAAGTCATACTCGATTCTGACTCCTACTGTGGAGTCTTTCTGTACAAACAAGTGTCTGTGAGTCTATAGAATCAGAATTCCATTTTGATGCCACTTTCTCTATATCATACTGACCTCTGATTAAGGTTATAATTTCTTTACCTTTAATTTACAACACCAATATATTTATTTGGTGCCAACAAGTCCTGGTGTGGCGCTGTGGGTTAATGTGCCAGACTGCAAAGCCGTTTGAACTGCAAGGTCAGTGGTTCAAGCTCACCAGATGCTCCTCGGAAAACCCTATACAGGGTTGCTATGGGTCAGAACCAACTCGACAGCACTAAAATAACAACAACAACAATCAGGAAAGTATTTAAAGTGTAGTAGTTATCTTTACTCATAGAGAGGACACATATTGTTTTGTTAGCATTTTCTTGTTATGTTACAAAGGCAGGACTTGAGTGGGGTATGTTTTTGTGATGGTATTGATGATGTTTTACAATAGAATGATATCTCCTTCTTTATATTGATTTTGTTTTTAGAGGGAAACTTTTTAAAAAATGTGATTCTTTAAAGGCCTGAAGCTAGACAAAGAGCTGACAGACAGCACATCTCTCGTGATACACCAGAGATTGGACAGAAAACTATTTTTATTAATAGTTAAGTGCCACAACAAAGACTGTTGATTAATGACCACAATAAATCTGGAGGTAGCATCTCCAGAGATACATTTCAGCACTCTATATAGCTGGACCCCTTTTTTAAAGTAAAAATAAAATCAGTGCCTGATAAACTATATTTGTCAATTCTTCATAAAGAACACATCTAAAAGGAAGACCTTAAGCCTAAGATAAGGGAAGGAGGATTCACAGTGATTTCAAGATGAGTCCATCAATCTGTGATAGAATTTAATGGCGATAAAGACAGAAGCTACACTTGAAAAAGTCAGCCACATAGGCATAGGTTGGGGGAAGATTGGATGAGCAGGTGACGTGCAAAATGAGCATGTCAGGGTCAACATGTCTAGGTGGCTGCCGAAGAAAGTGAATGAAATCTTAGGGTGCGTTTCATTGCATGGGCTATTCCAATTTAGAAGGCTAATATTACCCTGGTTTTTTGCTTTAGTCTCAGCAAAGCTTACTTAGGACTATCCTCCTGTTGTACCTATGTTCCTTGCTGTTGAGTTGATTTTGACTCACAGTGGCTTTTCCATGTGTGTAGACTACACCTGCTTGATAGTGATTTCAAGGCTGTGATTTTTCAGTGGCACACTGCCAGCTCTGTCTTTCAAGGTGTCTCCAGGTAGGTTTGAACTCCCAACCTAGTAATTGAGTGCTTAAGTTTTTGTGCCACCTTATGGAGCCTAGGTTAGTGAAGGGGCTAGTTAACCTGTAATGGTAAAAATAACTAAAAG